TATTTGTAGCAATAGCCAAAAATACATTGTATGGGTCAAAATTATTGATTTTTCTTTTATGCCAAAAATCATTAGGATATTAAGTAAAGATCATGTCCCATTAAGACATTTTGTAAATTTCCTACTGTAAATATATAAAAACTTAATTTTTGATTAGTAATATGCATTGCTAAGAACTTCATTTGGACAACTTTAAAGGCGATTTTCTCAATATTTAGATTTTTTGCACCCTCAGATTCCAGATTTTCAAATAGTTGTATCTCAGTCAAATATTGTACTATCCTTACAAACCATACATCAAGGGAAAGCTTATTTATTCAGCTTTCAGATGATGTATAAATCTCAATTTCGAAAAATTGACCCTTATGACTGGTTTTGTGGTCCAGGGTCACATATAATGATGCATCACGATTGAATCATGACATATGTATTGAGATGTGTGCTGTATTGTGAAGTAGTTGGTGATACCCAGCTCCAGCAGAGGAAATAGTCATCTGCAAGAGTGCTACTGCTGCTATAGTGATATTAAATCATGTTGATCCTCATTTTTCAATCCCTCTGAGCCTTGCATTAGAGACGCGCTACTGTCCCTTTCCCAGCTGTGGCACTTTGGCATTATCTGCACACCCCTGACATTTCATTGCACAAACACACATGCACATCAGAATTTAATCTCTCTTGTGCCTCATTTTCAATGCTGTCCTTTTCAAGTCCGGTCACTGAGGTCCACTCTGTAATTGAAGCATTGAAGTCCACTGTTATTAAGGGCTTAAGATCTTACCTGTATCGTCCCAAAGTCAACGTTTTCATAGTGGAAATGGGCACATTCGGCTAACTTTGGAAAATGTCCCTTGGTGAATGAGAGCCTGAAAAGATCACAGGACAATATTCAATATTCAGTTCAAAATTCAGCTATTATAAACATGAGGGCTAGTCAGTGATTGACTGCTTGCTAATATGGAAAAAAGAAGCCTTTGTGACTTTGGCTGTGTGAATTTTTGACACTTACTTTTTGACGTTCTTCACCTTCATGCTGGCAGTACTGCTGCAAGAGCGCATGAGAGGCTCAGAGCTCAGCTCTGGAATTTCAGCACTCCGTGCCTGAAAGAAAAATACACATGCTCCTTTTCAATGCATGATTGGGACATGACAGTCTATGTCCCTGGCCACATTCCAATAGCCCATCCTCACCAAATGGCACCGTTATGGCCTGTTCACACCAGGGCCAATGTGACAAAACAACACAAAAGTACTGCATTAAAGATGTACAAGGTATTTTTGCTCCACAATAGGGTTGTGACGGTGAGGAAATTTTCCCACCGGTTAATCGACGTGTGACAACACCGGTAATACCGGTATCACCGCAGGGGCGTTCTCTCTTTTCCTCACTTTTAAATAGCTTGTAAAAGCGGTGTGCGCATTTTACTTTCACTTTCAAATAGTGACAATTCGGAGTAAAGCAATTGTTCGTTTGAATTTCCCAAAATCACCTTAGATAAACGGCAAAAGTCAACAGGCTTTTCAAAATCCAAAATATTGCCAAACAGGCGCTTTTGCATTTCGTTTCGAAACTAAATCATCCGCCATCGTCTTGCCTGTCTCACCTCACCTCACTCTTCTTGTCAGTCAGCTCGACTCACTCTCCTCACTGGAGAAACGAAATCTGATCTGTGATGCAACTGTTGTTCAACTGCATTGAGCAGCCGCGTTCAGTTTTTAATTGTAGTGTCTGTTCTTTTACTGAACTAAATGATTTTTATTACTATAAAAAATCAAAGCTACAGTGGGGGTCGGTGACGCGGTGGGCAAGTGATGTAACCGGTGTTGCGGCTTAACACCGGTATCACCGTTAGCACCGTCTATCGCGGCAAGCCTACTCCAAAACTATTACCAGTTTGATATAGAGTTTTCGTCATTCAATAAAAAAAATACTCGGATAAAAACAAGACAGATCATAGTTTCCAACTCGGAGAAAAAAAACTACTATGAGAATAAGTTTAGAAATCATAAATAGTCACAACTGTAAGATAAAGTTGCAATTATGAGAAATAAATTTGCAATTGTGAGGTACAATATCATTGTGAGCAGGGTGTGCGATATATATATAGTATACAATAATATCGTAATTGTTGTTTCAAAATGCCTTGAAAGCTCATGCAGCAAAATTGTTTCTAATTATCATTATTGATAAAATACTGGCATATCATTTTTGTCAATAATATTACACAACCCCAATTGTGAAACCAAATCACAATAAAAAAAAATGTAATCATAGATTATACATAATGTTGTTTTAAATATTTTGTGAATAATGAATTTTGTGTAAAACAAAAGTTTAATTGTAATTTTGTGTGCATCTCATTTGCTACAACTAAACTGTCCATCAACTACTGTGCTCGTTAGATATCAGTATCGCCACTGAAACAAATAGTGTTCGACCACTAATTTTTTTAATTCAGACTTTATGTGAATAGCCTTTTACAATACCATCAAGTATACTTATGCATTACATTAAAGTGATAAAGCACTTGAATATAGTTTTTAACAGGACATTTAACAGGACAGTCTCCTCCCATCTCTACACAAATCTTTGTGCAAATAAGAACTAAAGAGACAAATCTCTCTCATATACAAAGCCATTTTTAAAGTTAACAGCACAGTATAATGAGAATATTGTAGGCAACATAAAACAAGTCTGCTGAGTAATGGAAGGAGAGAGAAAGCTACAACAGGGTCAAAGACAGGTTAAACGGATATGCCAAAAAGCTGAGAGACCCTGAACTCTGGTTTTAGAAAGGCTAAGCTTGTGCCCTGCCTCTAAAACATTTGACAGCTGGTATGCTTTATAAAACTCTGTTGCCAGTCTCTTCAATGCCTAGCCAAACGAGAGACACGCAGTCATCTGGCAAGGCCAAACAAAACATGCCAGTGATTCGAAAGGTCCATGAAATATGAATAATGCTTTGAAAGTGCGGCTCTTAGCTGCCAGACATGGGCTTATTAAAAGTCTCTTGACCATGCAGCCTTCAAATGAGCATGCGGCTGAACAGACCAGCTTCTGCTGGTATAAAACATGGTGTGAAAACTCAACTGGGTCCGATCCAAATCTGGTTCCATTTCGTTATTCGTAACAGCCAGTCTGTTGATCATCACAGTCTCACTTCACTATAAGTGACAGTGAAACTAGGTCACAACAGTGACAAGACGACAGCCACTGGAGCTTGATGACCTTGACTGTACAATTAACGAGTTCAATTAATACCCTGGTACACAATAGTATAAAATCAAGCCAAAGAGCATTAAATTAATTTGTCATATGAGTGAGCTGATACATTGTAATTCCCTTGATATATCCTCGCTAATCTGTTTGTGCTCAAAACAACATCAGCCAACAGTCAGGTTGCCATGGAGAAAGGTTCTTTTTTTTTTATCAGCACCACTGAATGCAAGCATGTCAGTGCTGGTGAAATAATCATGAATTGAAACTAATTCAGTATTGAACAAAGGCTGGGGAAAGCATGTTATAGATGATGTAGATCTTCAGAGCAGCTTAATACGATCATCTATTACTACACCGGCTCTCTGGAACACTCCGTTTTGATAGGTCAATCAGGGGACTTCTGCAATCAAATCAAATGTGTCTCTGCTCATTATTGCAAAACAATGCAAAGTCATATTGTAGTCAGCTGCTTCATGTCGGGGTGTATTTTGCAGTAATGAATAACTGACTGCATTACATCTTACCTATTTGATAGCAAAAAGCCATGGCTGAACACTAAATCAAGAACCATTATGTGGTATAAAAATATAACTACCTAGCAAATAAGTATGAAATTATGACTCTATGCTATAATCTTATTGGTATACTATCGTTCAAAAGTTTGGGGGTCAGCAAATATTTTTTCTTTTAAAAAAAATCTAAATTTTATTTAGCATTTCATTTTATTAATACATCAAACTGATTGTTTTATAAGTGAATATTGTTCTTTTGAACTTTCTAATTATCAAAGTGAAAAGTATCACAGTTTCCACAAAAATATGAACCAACATAACTGTTTGCAACATTAATAATGTGAAATGCTTCCTGAGCATCAAACCAGCATATTGGAATGATTTCTGAAGGATCATGTGACTCTGAAGAATGGAGTAATGGCTACTGACAAATTCAGCTTTGCCATCACAGTAATAAATTACATTTCAAAATAAATTCATATAGAAAATTATTTCAATTGTAGTAATATTTCACAATATTACTGAATTTTAGATCAAACAAATGCAGCCTTGGTGAGCATAAGAGACTTCAAAAAGCATTAAAAAAAAGCTTTTGAATGGTAGTGTATATTTGATTCTTCTTTTTCTGCAAATATTTTAGATTTATTGCTTTAACTGGAGTCGCCCAAGCTTCCAGTGCTCCATTATATGTTTTCTGTATATATACACCATAAATATAAATCTGAAGTCCCTCAAGGTCATTTTTGCTAGTCAGTAAATTAATCTGCTTTTCGTAGGATAATGACCAGATCTGCATTATCCCTCTGCAGGCATCTGACAAGAGCATGTTCCCACAGACAGGTTATAATGGCCAACAGTCTACAGCAGCAATATGGGTCTTATGTAAAAGAATCAGGGACCCACAAAAAAAATAACTGAATTATCCTTCAGAAACGACAGTTGTGATATTGTCTCTATCGAACAGCAAGCAGTCGATCTTTCATTTTCACAGCTTGAGGGTGTGATATCTGCTGTCTTCACGACTGGCTTTGTAAATGTATGGTGTGGGAGGGAGTCGCTGAATTTGTGCGAGACTGCGAGAACTTGGCTCCTCACCATTGCGCTGATGGTTTCCTCCCAGTCAGGTCGCTCTCGGGGGTGGATGCTCCTGGCAAGCTCGGGAACGATATCGTCTTCTTCCGGGTGCCGTCCAGGCCTCAGGCCCCTGAGGGGAGGGGATGGGATATATATAGAGAGGGAGAGAAGGGAGGCAGGGTCAGTCTGATAGCCTGTGAAATATATGGATATAGCCTGCTTTGCGGCTGCCTTTGAGAATTACGACAGAGGAGCTGAGTGGAATAGGCAGTGTGACAGCAAAAATGACACGTCCTCAATGTAAGGCGGTGAATTAGAACATCCCATCCTTCACAGAGGTGTTAATGGCAGCATCGTTTCAATTAGGCAAGATGTCACTAATCACAGTGACATGAAAGGGAAAAATTATTATCCAGCATGCACAGCAGGGAATAAAAGCAAGATCCCTACAGCAGCATGTAGGGATATCTGCCAATTTAAGGGGGGAATCTGCAGTTTTCTTTGGAAAAGCCTGCAGTCTAGAAAAGTTGATCTTAATAATATGGTCTTTAATGGGTGATATGAAAGAAAGCTTAGATATTATTTCCTTCCAACCCTGCTGAATGAGAGGATGGGAGAAACAAAGTGGCAGTCTGGCTCGTCTCACATGGGCAAAATGACAAGCCACCACTGATCAGAGATAAAAAGTGCAGTGCGGTCAGTGATACTGTTACACTTTCCAAAGTGGGGGATGTTCTGACAGAACAGATAATTGTTTCCATAAAAAAGAATGGAACGAATTACATAAAAGTTACATGATATGGATTAAACCAATTTGGATGACCTGGAAAATGGCTTTGAATGTTTATTTATCTGCTTTGAGCAGAGACTCTCACGTTGGAGCATAATGTGTGACCCGGCAGCTTACAACACAACGGTACATCCAGCAAATGTCACTAACTTTGAGAGCGAGTCTGTATTTTACTTTATATGTTGCCATTCTGCAATAAACAAGAACTTGACACCACCACACAAATATGTGCTAAATTAATGACACGGTTTGGGTCCTTGTAAGACCTTTAATTATGCTGATGATTTATGGAGCACAGTAAAAATGGTTCTCGCCATAAGGGATGTGCCAGGGAAGGCGCACTTAAGATGATTTGATGAGCAACAGCAATATATAGACATGAATGTTATTTTAAATTATTCTTGTTAATCTGATATTGATTCAAAATCTGACAAAATGATCTTGAAGATGGCCAGAAATTAACAACAAAGAACAGTCCTAGCACAAGGACACTGGACTACAATGCAAAAAAAAAAACAGTTTTTGTCTTGTTTTCAAATTGAACAATATCTAAACATCCTTAAGACAAGATCAATTCACTTGAGAAGCAAAACTACAAGACTTATATTCTACACACAGAATATATATTAAATTAAGTTTACTTTTCTTACGCCATTGGCCAACAGTTTTTCTTAAGCATAAACAACACTAAATTCTGGCAGATTCCTGTTTAAAAGAAGAAAAATAATTGCCAATGGGGTGAGAAAAATAAACTTAATTCAAGACATATCTGAAAAAAAGTCAATACTATACATAATTTCACTGTGCAAATTGATCCTGCTTAGTGACTGTTTAGATACAGTATTGTTACTGAAAATAAAGAGTAAGTGATTTTGTGCAGTGTATGCTACAAAACAGGATTCATCCAGGTCTCTGAGGTACACCTATATCTCCTCCCCTCTCTTGCTGTCAGTTTCAGGCTCACATGAACACTGAACCAACATTTCAAAGCAGAATAGAAGAGGCTGGGTTATCCATATGTTGCTGACACCAAAATGTCATCTCCTCCATGCAGTTCTGACACAGCAGAGTTTGCATCCATAATTACCAGGATGGAGGATGTCCAGAAAGCAACAGCGTGCTGCATTATGACACTGTGCCAGGACTCTTCGTTGATCCAGGTGCAACCAACTGCAGTGCTTAATCAATAACACGATTAATCACATTTACTTGAACTACAATGCACAGCAGCCACGGGCCTTGTGTGTATTTTGGTTAGTGAATCATTCATGGAACAAAAGTGCTCAATGAGGCATGGCGTGATGGAGCAGGAGATTCCATCAAGTACATGTGAAGATAAGCAGGGTTTTCTGGGGTGAGGTTAGCGATATGCTAAAACAATAATGACAGGCCCAAACAGAATCTGCACCCGCAGAACTTCACAGTAAGCTCTGAAGATTTCCGCAGAAATCTGAAGATTTCTGGCCATTCAGAAATTACTACAAATCCACCACCCATGCTTTTAGCTGCAGATACGAGCATTGTAGTGTCAGGTACTGACAATATGACACATTATACTATGATTGGGAGCTCCAGACAAAAAAATAAATAAATATATGACTAGGAAGCCATTGGCTCCTAAAATGAACAATTAGAAGCCAAATGACTTCAGCTGACTACTTACAGATATGCTCGATAAAGAGGGTTGTTCAAAACGTTAAAAAAAGTTCAATTAGTAATACTACCTATTGGACCTCACATGCATAACCACCAATAATAATTTTTGTTTAATATTTTTTAATTTTTACAAATTTTTTTTTGTTAATAATTAAATTGTTTAACAGCATTAGTATGAACAAAATGAGTCTGAGAACTCAGTAATGGTTCTGAACCATGCACCGATTGAGTCTGATTCAACAGAGATAATTGGGATGTTTCTTGGGTCAAGATGGAGTGGTTGCCATTGTGTTATGTCGCAACACCCTCATCATATCCCAATGGAAGTCATTAACTCCTGGAGGCCAGTGGAGGTCACGCCAGGCTTTCATAAATCACGAAAGCACCTCTATTCTGAGTAAGCATATCATTAAAGGGATAGTTCACCCAAAAATGAAAATTCTGTC